TTTTGCACCAGTCATAAGTGAAATGAGGACCACCAAGGTCCGATGGTACAAGAAACCGAGCTGGCAACTTGACCACCCTTTGGAATAGCAGCGTAGAGCAGTATGAGAGTGCCTCAAGATCTTGTTTAGACAGGAAGCAGACTTTGCGTTTAGACCTGCAAAGCTTCCCCTGAAAGATAACGTGAGGGTCCGATGCCTTGGGAAGTAGCATACTGAAAGCTTGAGCCCGAGGCTGCAGGAGCCGACAGGAGGCAAGGGAAGGGGAGGGGGCCACCCCCCCAGACCCCAAGAGAGGAGAACAGACTCGAGTCCCAGAACACGGAGGCATCCTGAGGAAGGATGGATTGTTGCGAAGCCACGGTGTCCCTAAGATCGCATGGACCAGGCGGGTCCCAGATAGAATCGCACAAGTGACATCTCCTGGTGTCAGCCAATCGGTGGGAGGCAAAGAGAGGAGAGGAGGACACAAATAGGTCTCGATACAGACCCAAATGCAAATTCCGTGGGGCGTCAAATACCCCGCTCCATTAGTATTGGAGCCTGTTCTCTGAGGCCGCAATTAGGTAAGATACCCAGACCTCTGAAGATTCCGTGACATTAAATTTGTGCACTTGCATTCCGTGAAACATTGCCACGGCAAACTTCCGAGTGTGAGGTGCACATGGGCCGCGAAAAAGGCGACGGTCTTTCCCGGTCCTAGCAAAAGACCCATGTTGATCAGCAAACGTCAAAATAGACCGAATGGAGCAGATGATAGGAGAAATCCCCTGAATAATGTTCCAGAACTGATCTGGTTCAACATACCCCGCTCCCAGCCCTAACTCCATCAAATCTCCAATAAGCTCTAGCCATCGAGAAGTGTCGGGTTCCCTGTTCCACCGCTCTCGGACCATCCTCTGTACATCGGTGACACGACCAGCAACTGAGCGAAGCTCCTCCATGGACTTGGACGAGGCACTGGTAGGTTGTCGTCTTTGAAGATACCTGGCCATTTGACCCCAAATATTCCACCAGACAGTGTAGATGAAATTCCCAGGGTCTGACCAGCGGTTGTCGTAGAACACTGCGCCCTTGTATGACATTGTCTTAATCTGCACAAAAGACATAGAGCGTACTGCAATTCCCACGATCCCAATAAGGTCCTTGCATGCCTTGCTTGAGAAAAATTCCTCAAAGAGGAAGAGGAGGAGGAGGGGCGCAGGAGGAGTAAGAGGAGAGGGAGGGCGTGGAGGAGGAGGGGGCCAACGGGCGGGGGGCACGAGGGCACGAGCAAGCGGTGAGGACGATCCCTCCCCCCCATCCTCGGGCTCGCTCGACTGCCAACTCTCCTCCTCCGTCACCTCATCCTTCTCCTCCGTATTCATATTCCTGCCCATCCTCCTCCATGTTCCCTCCTCTCCCTCTTCTTTCCTCATCCTCCTCCTCCTCATGCTGCTGCCCCTCCTCTCCCCGCCCCCCGTCCCCCCTCCACCTCCTCTGCTTCTGCCTGGCAAGTAGCCCTGCTCCGCGCTGCCCCGCCTCCTGCAACTGCTTGCACTTGACCTCCAGCTCCGCGTCCCCCTCCCTCTTCTTCAGGCTCATCAGCTCGCCCGTGAGGATCTCAAGGTACAGGGTGTCGCCCGAGACCGCGTGCTTGACCTGCCCTCCCTTCCCTGGAGCGGCAGGCGGCGAGAGGCGCAGGGGGTGGAAGGGGCGGGGGAGGAAGGGGGGGGAGGAGGAGGAGGAAGAGAAGCAGGAAGAGGAGGAGGAGGAGGAGGATGAGGAGGAGGAGGAGGAGGAGGAGGAGGAGGAGTGGAAGGAGGAGGAGGAGGAAGAATAATGGAGGAGGAGGGGGAGGGGATCTAAGGGGAAGGAGCAGGGGGGGGAGGAGGGGGAGACGGGGGGGTCGCCCCGATCCGAGGGCTTGAGCAGCTTGGGAAGCTGCCCGCTCGAGCAAGCCCCCCCAGCGCATGTCTTGCGTTTTTCCTGACAGAAGGGCAAGACTGGAGTGCAACAACTACACAGCCCGCCCGCGCCGCGAATGCGGCGCTGATGCCGAAGAGCATCGGCGGCCCTCTCGATGAGATTCGAGAGCCCTCGGCCGTGCATGCCCCGCGATTGCTATCTCCAGTTGGCGGCGCGCGCTGCGAGCGCTCCATGCGGGTCGGGCTGCGCCTCTCCGCGCCCGCAGCGCGCGCTCGCCGACTGGAGAGGGCAAGCGCTCCATGCATCTACTAAATGCGCCAAGCTCGCGCACGACGCCGCCCGAACCCCGAGCCTAGTACTCCTCATCTGATGAGCCAGCTCCGAACGCGCAGGACGGGATGGCGTTCTTGCGAACGTGGGGCTTCGGCAAGGGCGATGTGGGCCTCGGCGCGGGCTCCTGGGGCTTCGCCTCGGGCTGCGGCGTCGGGATCTCGGGTGCGCCAGCCAGCGCCTGGGGCACGACGGCCGCGGCCTCGGGGCTCCCTTGGGCGGCGGGGGAACCTGCGACAGCACCTGCGGAGGAAACCGTGCCAGGGGTCTGGATCGGCCCCTTCGGGCTCGGGCTTGGCTGCGCGGCTGCTGGCTTCTTCTGCGGCGGTGCCTCTTCTTCGCTGGGAGGCGCACTGTCCGAGGGGGGCTCTGGCTTCTCTGCGCCTGCTGGCCTCTTCATCACTGGGACGTCGTCCGAGGAGGGCTCTGGCTTCTCCGCGGCTGCTGGCCTCTTCAGAACGCTGGCAATGTTAGCGGCGGGCTTTCCCTTTGAGACGACCTCCTCTTCCTCTGCCTCGTCGTCCTCCTCGATCTCGTCCTCACCCTCATTTTCCTCCTCCTCCTCCTCAGGCTGGCCATCCTCCTCATCCTCCTCTTCCTCGTCCTCGGCGGGGTCGTCATCCTCCTCCGCCTTTGCTGCCTCGGCAGCTGCTGGCTTTGCCTTGAGGGTCATCGGCTTGGCCGCAGCTGGTTTTTTCTCTGCGGGCCCGCCACCAAATTTCTCTTTTTTCAGCTGCTCCATGGCCTCTTTAGTAGTAGTGCCTGCGGCGTAAAGCTCCCCCTGCTCCTTAAAGAAAGCGAGGGCTTCCATCTCGGTCTCTACCGTAATCGACAGGTTCAACTTCATGTTGGGTCTCTGTTGGCCTTCTGGCTTTTCCCACAATGCAAAAGACCTTTCGCCGTGGCGGCTGTACTCTGTGATTGTCAATAATGTTCCTTTCTCGTTGGCTTTCTCATCTTGCTCCAGATCGGGCCACGACCTTTTTTTTTCTGTTCGAGTTTTGCTTTGAGCGCCCCCCACGTCAGCCCTGGCACTGGAATCTTCGCCCCGTCCCTCCACGCAGCCACGGCCTCGTCCTCATCCGCTCCCCCCTCCTCGTCCTGGTCGGCCCACTTGGCCGCGTGCTCTGGGGCGGACGCGGCGTTGCCCGTGTCCACGCGGTACGCGGCCTGCCCTTCCGATATACGGGCGGGGGCGCGCAGGCAGGGCAGCAGCGCGGCGGGGTGGCAGAGGCTAGGGAAAGGTCACAGGGTTTCGGTGGCGGCGTTGCGGATGGCATTGCCGTTTCTCGTCTCCCCCCCTCCCCCCAGCCCCCGCCCCTCCCCCCGTCGCACCTCCCTTCCCCATCAGGCTCGAATGCGGGGGGGGGGGGGGGGGGGGGGGGGGGGGGAGGTGGGGGGAGGGCGGAGAGCGAAGGAGGGGGGGGGGAGGGGGGGGACGGGGGGGCGGCGCGAAGCCGAGCCGAAAGTCAGCACACAGCCCCCAAACCTACCATCGCACCAGGCAACGGGGGCCAAGCGGTCGCACCTATGAGGGGACCATGCAGATATTTACAGTAACAGAGGGGAGAGAGAGAGGAGAGGGAGGAGAGGAGGAGATGAGAGAGAGGAGAGAGAGAGAGAGACAAAAAATACATTAAGGATGAACACGAGGAGAATGAAAGACGAGAGAGAGAGAGAGAGTGAGAGAGAGAGAGAGAGAGAGAGAGAGAGAGAGAGAGAGAGAGCGAGAGGGAGACAGAGGGAGGGAGCGAGAACGATAGAGAGAGAGAGGGAGAACGAGGGAGGGTGAGAGATACTATGAGAGATAACGAGAGAGAGAGAGGGAGACGCAGAAAGAGAGAGTGAGCGAGGGGTAGAGAACGAGAGAAGTAATACATATAGAGAGATATAGAGATAACGAGAGAGAAATAAAAAGAGAGAGCCCCCTTTCCCACCACCATCTCGTTGTCCATCTTGTACATGTACTTCCTCTCCTGCCCGGCCACCGCATCGCGCCGCTCGTGGCAGGGGGCGGTACTTGCAGGGGTGCGGAAGGAGGGAGAGGAGAGGGGGGCCCTCCCCTCCTTGCTCTCGTCCAGCTCGATCGCATGTTCGATGAACTGCTTGGTCCACTCTGGCACGCGTGGAAAGTTCCGCCCGCGGGTCGCCCCCCCTCTGCGCTGCGTGCTAAGTCGCTAGGTTGCGCATAGCTTCCGCGTCCCCGATCAGCCCCCGACGATTTCCCAATTGTTTCTTCGAAGAGGGGGGGGGGGGATGGACGGAGGGGGGGGGGAGGGGGGGGGGGGGAGGGGGGGGGGTGGGGGGGGGGGGGGGGGAGGGCGGTGGGGAGGGTGGGGGCGGAGAGTGGGGCTGAGGGGTTGGGAGGTAAAGGGTCACGGTTTTCGGTTTTTGTGAGCGAGGGTAGGGTGAGAGGGCGAGAGAGAGAGAGGAGAGAGGAGAGGGAAGAAGAGAGAGAGAGAGAGAGAGAGGAGAGTTGAGAGAGAGAGAGAGAGAGAGAGAGAGAGAGAGAGAGAGAGAGAGAGAGAGAGAAAGAGAAAAGGAGAGAGAGCGAGAGAGAAATAGAAAACAAAGGCGAGGGAGAGACAGAGAGAGAGAGAGAGAGAGAGAGAGAGAGAGATAGAGAGATGGAGGGAGTGAGGAAGGGAAATGAATGTGAGCTTAGAGAGGGTAGGTAAATGAGTGACAGGACGAGGACGAGGAAACTGAAGTAGCGCAACCAAAAAAAACACCCATGGAAAGACGTCGCTCTGATCACCCGAAGCTCACCTGTTCTTGATGATATTTTGTTGAACGTGTCGAAGAGCTTTCTTCTGGGCCCAGTCGTCTATCTGGTCAGCCAAATGCCAGGTCTTCTCGTTCTCTGATGCGACCTTCTGAAATGCGCCAGCGGCGGCCACCGACGATATCGCTGCGTTCGGGTAGATGGCCTTCCGCACGGCTAGGATCAGCGGGGCTGCCTTTTTGAGCTTGGCCGAGTCTACGGGGTCCTCCATTTCTAGATCATACTCGAAGGACTCTGGGTTCTTCAAGAAAGAAGTGATCGCCTCGACCAGGCCATCTGTGGCTTCTAGGGTACGCTTCCGCTGTTTCCTAGGGGGGCCCTCCGCCATGGTTGACCGCTCGAGCCAGAACGTGTAATTACGAGTTTCTGTGCATTGCCTCCCCCCCCTTGCTCCTGGACCCAGCGGGCCTCCACTCGGGCACCAAAGAGCCCATCGAAGCAATGTGATTCAGACTTTCCTCCTTCTCCTCCCAGTGGGCTCAGCCCCGTCCTCCCCCTCCTGCCCCTCCTCATCGCCCCCCCTGCCAGCTCGCGCCCTGGGCCCACCATCGGCTGGCGCCCAGCGGCTGGCGCGAGGAGAATGAGGATCAGGAAAGCGGGAGCTGGAAGGGGTGTGTGAAAATGGAAGGGTGCGGGGGATGTGGGTAGGGGGCCGATGGCAGGGGGGGTGGCACAGCCCGCGGGCCCCCCGTCGGGGGGAAGGGGGATCTTGCATGAGCGATGCTTCCAATGGGGCAGTGGACGTCGATGCGATTACGACGATTCCCTCAAGGGGGGACGGTGGCCCCTGAAACGGGAGGCGGACCCGAGAGGGTGGCGGACAGCGTTAGCACCGTTAGCACTGGGTTAGGGCACGTCTCCGAGCCAGCATCGAAGCCCCTGCGAGTCGAATGGGTGAGGGGCATCCTGCTGAGAGGGCGATGGCCACGACTGGGCTGCACCACTCGCCTTCCCCCGCCGAGAGGCCGACGACCGACCGCCCGCCCAACCCTTCCCATGACCAGGTCGTCGATCTTATCCAAGTCACCGCGGACCTCCTTACCCTTCGCCCACTTCCAGTTCACATCCTTGTTGATGAGGGTGTTCAGCGTGTTGACCTCCCCGCGCGTCGATTAAGGGATAGGGGGCGCCAGCGGAAACGGCGACACAGCGGGTGGGGTCGAGCGAGATGGGAGGGCCTGGGCGAGGGGCAGACGCGCGGGGGGACAGAGCTATAAAGGGCTGAAGTCAGAGCGGAACTGGGGGCAACGAAACGCAAGCGAGGGGCTCTAGGGCGGGTCTGCAATTTACGAGGGAGCGGTGGGAGACGAGCGCTTCCTGCGCGGAGGCGGGCAACGCAGAGAAGGAGGATGGGGATGAGGATGAGGATGAGGATGAGGATGAGGATGAAGATGAGGATGAGGATCAGGATGAAGGGGGGAGGGGGAGGAGCGCGAGAAAGGAGAGGGGGATAACATTTAAAAAAGCAAGAGGAGGTGAGTCGGAGGAGGGAGGATGAGTAGCGGAGGAAGCGAACATGATGCAATAATGACATCATCCGCCCCCCCCGCCCGGCCTGGGCCATGGTCTGCACGTACGTGGTGCGGATCTTCCTGACGGCGGTGAGCCAGTCGGCTGCCTTCTTCGTCACCCTCGTGCCCTCTGTGTTGCAGTCGCCACCGTCGCCGCCCGTCTCGGCCCGACCGCGCTTCTTGCGGTTGGCGCCCTTCTGCTCGGAGTGCTGGAGGCCGTCCTTCTTGTCGGCGCCAGACGGCCGCGGAGTGGCCTGGTCCTGCGCTGGAGGCGCGGCCGTGCCAGCGGCCGCCGCCGCAGGACTTGCAGGGGTCCCCGCAGCAGGAGGATGCGCAGCCGCAGCAGTAGCAGGCGTCACTGGAGTAGGAGGGGCCGCACTCGTAGGAGTAGCTGGGACCGCAGCCACAGGAGTAGGAGGGGCCGCACCCGTGGGAGTAGCTGTGACCGTGGCCACAGGAGTAGAAGGGGCCGCAGCGGTAGACCCACCATCAGCGGCCAGAGCAGTCCCACCACGAGAGCCGTCGCCACGGCCGAGTCCTTGGCGATCGGCTGCGGGCTGATCGGCAACGGCAGCAGCTTGGGTCCAGGACTCGAAACTCGACCGCGGCCTCGACCACGTGTCGCGGAGCTTGTGCGTGGTCCACAGGAACAGCAGCGTGCTCGTCATGTCGTCCCACTTGCACCAGATGCCGCCCATGAGCACCGCCTTCCTGCAGTAGTTCTGCGCCTGGCGCATGCCAGACCTTCCCCCGCCGCATTTCCATGCGACCCTTCCCAAAGTCATGCACTCAGCGTCCTTGATCTCCGAGAGCACGCGGCGCTCCTCAGTCGTCTGCTTGTGCTCGTGATCCCACTTCTCATACTCGCCCTCGGCCCATTTGGCACGAAAGTTCTGCTTGTTCACGTAGCCCTTCGCTTTCATGTAGTCTTGCTTCAGCTTCTTGTCGGCGTTCAGCGCACGGCCCCATCTACCTGCCATGGGGTTGCCCTTCACCTTCTCGGTTGAGAACGCAAACCCTCGCTCTCGAAGGCTGCTCCAGAGCTGCGTGTCGGGGTGGTCGATCTTCGGCTCCTCCTCATCGGGCTTGGTCTTCCGAGCCTTGTGGACGTTGCGGATCAGCTCGCTCTGGAAGAAGGACGTCATCGTGAACTCGGCAGCGTCTACGCTGTCGCTTGTCGTGGCGTCGTTCTGCAGCCTCTCCATCTCCAAGTTCAGGGCCTCGACGAGATCTGATTTGTCAAGGGGCTCCGTAGGCATCATGATGGGCTCCGTTCGCATCTCGATATCATCGGAGGAGTCGGCGAAGTCCAGTGCCAAGACTCCTATCTGCCCCATCTCCTGCAGCGGGTGGTGCTCGTCTCCTGGCATCTCCACCCACGCGGGCCGACGTTTCGGCGGCGGCGAGTCGATGCTGGCCCCGTCGATGTTCAGTCTGCTGGCCAACGCTCTGAAATAAGAGTCCGCGTCGTAAGCCTCCGTGTGCTGGGCCTCCCACTCCGCCTTCTTCTGGTCCAACTCCATCTGCGTGCACGTGCCTGGAAGACGGTCCGTCAGCCAGGGCAGATGATCATCGGGTTCGATCGGCCCCGATGTGTCTGCGAGCTCAACGTCCGCGTACGGGTCGGCCGTAGCTGGCTCCTGCTGCTCCTGCGCTGGCTCCTGCGCTGGCGCCTGAGCTGGCGCCTCGGCTGGCTGCTGCGGGCAGCTCGGGGCTGAGACTTGGGCCGTCGGGCCCGCGGGGGCCCACGTGGAGCCCGACGACTGAAGGTACGGATCGGAGTCCGCGTCCTCGATGACAATGAGCTCGGGCACTTCGACGCTCGCGTGATCATGCTTTGACAAGGCCAGGGCAAGCTCCAAGTCGCGGTGGTAGTTTTCCTCTGGAGTCAGGACGGTCTCCAACTCGGTGTCGGAATCGTCGGGGTCCGACGCGCGGTCCGAGGGGTCCCACGCGCCCAATCGTTTCTCGCCCTCGTCCTCGGCGCCAGCCAGGTCCTCGTCCGCGACGCCGACGCTGCTGCCCTGACTCTCGGACTCACCCGAGTCGCCCTCGGCTGTGTCCACGGCGGTGTCCACGCGGCGGGCGTCGCTGTCCTGGCCCTCGGCGGTGTCCACGCGGCGGGCGTCGCTGTCCTGGCCCTCGGCGGCGTCCACGCGGCTGGCGTCGATGTCCTGGCCCTCGGCGGTGTCCACGCGGCGGGCGGTGTCGGCCTGGCCCTCGGCGGTGTCCACGCGGTTGTCGTCGCTGCCCTGGCCCTCGGCGGTGTCCACGCGGTTGTAGTCGCTGTCCTGGCCCTCGGCGGTGTCCACGCGGTTGTTGTCGCTGCCCTGGCCCTCGGCGGTGTCCGCGCCGGCCCGGTGGCAGCCGTCCTGGCGGAAGAGGGGGCGGCACGGCACTGGAAACGGGAAGGGGCAGGAGATGGAGGAGGCCTGATGCAGGCTGCCCCACATGTGGTCGTGCTCGCCGAGTTTTAAGCGGCTGAGCATCTCGATGATCGCTGTCACATCGTCAATCGGGTCGTCGAGGACCGATGGGGACGCGAATCGATGGGGACTAGAAGGACGAGGATGGAGCATTAGACGTGGGGGAGGGAGAGCGGGATGAGGAGGAGGAGGAGGAGGAGGAGGGGGAGGAGGAGAAAAAGGAGGAGGAGGAGGAGTAGGAGAAGGAGGAGGAGGAGGAGGAGGAGGAGGAGGAGGAGAAGGAGGAGGCGGCGGCGGGGGCCTGATGTTGGGCTCTCTCTTGAGCCCTCAGCCTGTGGTAGAGATCCACGAACTTTTTCTTCTCGTGAATTATGGTGCATCTCATTTTTTTGTACAACTTCGAATGCACTCGAGGGAAGTAGCCGATGTGGTCCGAGACAATGTTGGGTTTCAAGCGCCTCGAACGCAGCTCCTAGGGACGATCGGCTCAGGATGAACGGACATAGGGGAACGCATGGGGGAGGGCGAGAGGAGACGAAACGGAAGAGGAGGGGGGGGGGGGCGGATCGGGGAAAACGTGGGAGGGCGAGCGTGGAGGGATGAAGGGGAGAGGCAGGACGTCCTCCGTCGCTCCTCCTCCTCGTCCTCCCGATCCTCCTCCCAGGCCTCCTGTGGGGCCCGCCTCCGATCGTTCTCCCCTTCCCCCCCTGCAGGGGGGGAAGGGGGGGGGAAGGGGGTGGGGCCCCCCCCCTCCCGAGTCCTCCTTGATGACCTCGGCGATCGGCATCGCACGGGCCTGGGCTGGGGGCGCGACGATGGCGACGACGACGAAGACGACGACGACGACGACGACGACGACGACTACGACGACGACGACGACGAAGACCACAACGATTGACAGCGACGGCGACGGCGACTACGACGACGACGACGGCAACCACGACGACGAGGACCAAGACGACGACCTATTGATAGACGACGACGACGACGACGACGACGACGACGACGACGACGACGACGAACCGGCCTCGGCCGCGCCGCGGATTCCCCAACGGCGGATGTCGGCCTGCATAAAAACCCTGCAAGCCATGAGGGCTGCGGGGGCGGCAGCGGCGACGGCGACGGCGCCGCGGCGACGGCGACGGCGACGGCGACGGCGACGGCGACGGCGACGGCGACGACGACGACGACGACGACGACGACGACGAAGCCGCCGCCGACTACGACGACTGCGGCGACGACGACGACGGCGGCCGCGACGAGGACGACGACGAGGACGACGACGATGGCGGCGACGGCGACAACGACGACGACGGCGGCGGGGCGACGGCGGCGGCGGCCGACGCCAGCGACGACGACGGCGGCGTGTCCGCTGCCCCGCTCAGGCGGTGGCGTCCTGCGTGCAACAGTAAGCTCTTCGACCAGACCTTCGCGGGTAGTTTAGGCGATCCAGCCGTGGCGACGAGAGCAAAATGGTAATGCAAAACAACGCAAAGCAATGCAAAGCAACAGCACGTATCATGATAATGTTGAAAGCAAATAAAAATCTGCCAAACTTGCAAAGCAAAGGTAAAGCAACGCGCAGCAATGCCAAGCGGCGCCACCCAATGCCAATATCGAACGCAAGGTAATGCCAAGCAGTGCAAAGCAATGCAATGTTGTGCAAATCAGTGCAGATAGTAGTGAACACATAAAGTTTTGAATGTTTCCAAGAGCGTGAGATCTTACATCTAGTCTTTGTAAGAACAGTCCTTGCCGTTCTTAGAGGCTCTAAGAACATAGTTTTACGATCTTAAACTAAGATCGCAGAGGCCTCTGGGTCTGGGCCTCCCCCCCGGGGCCCGTTTTGCGAGGATGTCTCAGGCGAGGGCGCCGGTTTGGGATTCGTCACCGGATCCAGCGGATCCAGCGGATCCAGCGGATTCAGCGGATCCGTCCGGAAACGGTGCCGGAGGCCGCTCTGGGCTCCTCTGGGCATCCCCCCCGGGGCCCGTTTTGTGAGGATGTCTCAGGCGAGGGCGCCGGTTTGGGATTCGTCAGCGGATCCAGCGGATCCCAGCGGATCCGTCCCGGACAC